TTCTCCTCTATCAAATATATTGAACTATCTGTGACTTATTAGTGTGCTTTGTCCACAGGGTCTTTACCAAGTTGCTATGCCCAGAGAAACCGGTGCACATCCCAGGCCCTGCTCGAACTGGACTTGTGTGTCCTCTCTGCTGCTGAGCCACTGAGACAAACACTAACACCCGCCCCCTCATCCACAATGTGTATATAAGAATGCCTAGGGCCTCTGAAATGCATTTGTCTTACACCTCAGACAAAAGTTCAGGGGAAGGTCAGACACAGACAATGAGGAGGGAAAAAAAGCTGGCACGCACCATTCTAACACCATTTATTAAGACAAAAGTAGAGCAGCAAACTTTGGATCGTCTACAGAAGTGCATTAGAACCTTGTCACATGAGGCGGAAACAGTCTACAGCTGTTTGAGCAGCCTCCACGCTGGCTGACGTGACAGGTTTAGAAATGCTGTGCCTCATTCACAGATATTTCCTCTCGAACGAAATCTTGGGCACATCCAGATTACAGAAGGACTGGATTTCTGAAATGTAAGTGTGTAAGATATACATTTGTTTTATGGTGCCTGCTTTCCCAGTACACATTCAGTTGCAGGTGGTGTTTTTGATTGTGTCTGCCACACAAGGCAAAGCATTTATAAGAAGCAGCAGGAATGTGTAGGTTGCTCAGAGCTTGAAGCCTGGCCTTGTCCACCTGCCCCAGGCTATGCTAATGACTGCTGCTTTCAGGCAGATAAATATATCCTGCTCTACCTATTAAGCTGATAAAGCCAGTCAGCAAAGGCCTACACAGTATTTTGAACCCAAAAAAAAAACACACACCATTTTTCATGAAGCAAATATTAAAACTAGCGTTGTCTAAACTTGCAATTATATTTTAAAGAAAAGGCTGTGGAATGCATGAGACCAGTAAAATTATCTTACTGATACATTGTGTATCAGTAAAATAATTACTAATTCGATAATTACTTAAAATAATTGTCAACTTCGGTGACACTAGAGCCTGAACTTCACAAACTTGCAGATGTAATTTGCAAGTTTAACAATAAAAAAATCACTTTTTTTTTTAACCAAAATACCGTCGAGGCCAATATTCAAAATTGCAAGTAAATCCCTAAAATGACTTGCAGCTACAGTGTACAAGTTAAATGTTAACCTTATTGAACTTAAACAACACAAAATCACCAGTTTTCAGGGAAGCAAGGTTGGTGAGTCTTGTGCTGAATCTGTCCTCTTTGCCGGGTGCTTAAAGAAACTGTCATTGTATACCTTGGATCATTCACTGAAACAAAGACCTTTTGTCATGGACGCTGCTTCATTTGCAAGAGCTTCAAGAAAACAGGAAAAAAAAAACAAAAGACTGGTCAGAAACACGGTTGAGTCTGTCTCGTGCCAACAGAGCTCAGCATTCTCCCCTTATGTAAATCTGGGGGGTGCAACAGGACAGGAACAGCTGATCTTTGTGAAAGAGAGCGTGCTGTGCCTTTAAGATCAACTGCTGGGCTGCTCACTCGCTCCTCTCTCTCCCCCCCTCCCTTCCCCAGCAGTGAAAGTGAAAAGCCCACTGCTCCTTATCAGAGCAGCAGAGTATTTACAGCCAAGGGTTTGTAGGCTATTAGGGAGGTCAGGTGACTGGGAGGCCGCCTGGGTGACCCAGACGTCTAGGGGTCAAGGTCGCGGGGGGGAGGGGGGTTATGGGGGAGGAACGTCAGTGGCAGAGGGGAGTCGCCCGGAGAGATCGCTGCTGCTGACGACACACACAGGAAGGAACCAGCCCGGCTGCCCACTGCTCGTGCTTCTCCGTCCCTCTCTCCCGCCTCATCCCCGAGACCGTTCTCCCTGCTGCTCCTACGCGAGCACTGCAAGCCTTATCACAACTCCACGCCTCACTGCCCCATTAGCTGCGCTTTAACCAACAACAACATTAAACAGCGTGCTGCCCGTTCTTCTTTCTCCACAAGTAAAAATATACAGACCATTTTTTAAAAAAGTTTTTTCTTTTCATTTATAAGATCTGGAATGATCACACTGTTCTACAGTGCACAAGGAAATGATGTCATTTACACAATATCCTAGCTAACAGGTAACAATAAGCTTTGGTTCTGTCTTTTTAATGGACAGAGCCTTCTAACTCAAGGCTAACCTGATCTAATGCTGTAAAATAAACATTTTACTAATTATTGCAATTCTGTAGATATGCTTATTTTTGCAGCTAAACTTACTGTATATTACAAAGTTTTAATTCTGAAGTTATACACCATTCTCATGCCAAATGGGACGCTGATTGAGAATTTTTAGTATTAATCTCACGCAAAATGCTTCAAGTTGTGATTTTGTCAATAAATTAAAAAAAATATTTTATGGGAAAAAAACTTTCGGGGGAAAAACCACCAGCACCCATATAAGAAAGGTTACAGCCACACAGTGGCAAACGCAAGACTTTCAAAGTCACTTACCATGTGAGAAAGGTACATCGCACACAAACCACAGCACTAGACACATGTGGCACTGTGGCCTCTGGATATATGCATCAAAACAAACCGGTCACTTGTAACTGCAACAAATTCACAAACTCCTTATCAAGAAAATGACATGTTTTTATAGCAGGTGCAGTGATTTTTATGGAACAGATCTCAATGAACTGCTCAATTCATTATGCTGATTAACAGTTGTCAACAATAGTGACCATGAGTAGATCTATTGTGAAAGTTACAGATTAGCTGTGTGTGTCCACAGTACAAGGAAGCAGTACAAGCTGTGCATCTATGATCCCTGCTTTGCACCGTATTACGGATACTGTCTTATCGGATCCTTTTGCAGAGCCTGGATATAAAAGTGCCTGTCTTTGGAAAGGAAATCATACCGAGGTAAAGACATGTGTCTCTATTATCTATTGTACCAACTGAAGCCATTTAGGCAGATCCTGCTGAGTCACTGTACATGGTCGACAATGGGACACTGCAGAGCCCTCAGCCCTGCTTTGTGCCAAGCAGGCTGCTAGAGTGAAAAACAGACATGGGGTTACGTTTGCAAACACAGAGCTCCACAACACGTGCAGAGGAGCCAATGTCTCCACGTATGCCCCGGGAGCAAGGCCGCCTGGGCCTCAGGCACAGACTCCAGGACAGACCCTGGTTTCTCTTCCACACAAGGTTGTTAGAATGGGCTCTGTGACATGTTGCAAAACCACCGGGGTGTTATGGAAGAATCATAAAAAAACAGGTTTCAAAGCCGTGTCAGAGACGTCTGAGAGCTTTACTCCGTAAACCAGAAGCTACTGTTCACAAGCCATGCGGTAAGCAAATCCGACTGGTACTAATATTACAGCAGGCCACAGTTTCGGATGATTTCCTGAAAGACAAGTGGACTGATCTCACCAAATACAAAATAAAAATTGTTCCTTTGAGAAATGCTTTACTTATTTTCTCTAGTCTACCCACTCAAATCACCTTCCCTGCGAATTTCAGTGAATTAGGATCTACAGAGTGCTGCAAAGACACAAAACGAATAAAAGGCGCTCTTCGCTAGCTGCTGATGGACTGGTTATGAAGTTAAATCTGCAGAGGCTGAATACAGTGAACTACCTCCCCTCAAGTCAGACTATAAGTCTCCTAAGAAGCTGAAAAAAAAAGCCTCTGCTGGCATCTAAATTTGCCTGACTACTAGGCTACACCCCTTTATATATATGACACTGTAAATGTTAACACATCTCTAAAGCTGGCATTCAAGCTGGAGAGAATCTCATTTAAAATGATTTATTGCAGTAAACTTGGCTCAAGAGAATTCTTTCCTATTCTGCCAAGGCTTTGCGCTGTGGTTTTCCAGCCCTTATATTTAAAATGCAGCCTTATTTAAAGATTACACTCTGTTTGAACACGGAGACCTCCACTTAAATACCCTCAGTAGGTATCACTGACACTGTCAGCTGGTTAGCTGGATGACTTCAGGTCTAAGTGCTTCACACATTCCTCCAGATCCACAGTGAACCCTCTGAGGATGTTATTCACACCTTTTAGCATCATTTTGTGTAGAAAAACAAGAATTACTTTTCAAAGTACAGTAAATCCTTCTGAGCCTGCATCGGCCTATCTCCTTAAAAACAAGTTGTCTTCTAAACCTATTTCTCTTGACACTAAACGTAGGGGAAGAAAATATCATGGGGTGACTGGGAGATCAAACTAATAATATTACTAATAAACAGGTAAGAGGTTTATTCCAAAAAAGAAGAAAGAAAACACAACATTTCGGCCGTGGAGCCTTGAACACACCTGAAGAACGTTGTGTTTTCTTTCTTCTTTTTTTCAGCATGGAATAAACCTATTACTTGTTCCTTTGCAGCCTACGGATACTGACGCAGCTACCCACCTGAAATACTACTAATAATAACTAATAAAGAATTTATTGCACACTTATGGAATTTTATTCTTATGTAAAAGGGGGACAGTGTTGCACTTTTCAGAGAAAAGCTTGTGGTTGCCTAGATCAGAAACACACATTACGTTAAGTTCCAGAAAAACATCACAAAAGACGCAACTGTAGTTAACCTTCGGAATTACCCAATACAATGATATTTCCAACGCGTGGTATCGAAGTATTACAAGCCAGCCTGCAACAGCCTTTCACTTGAGCTTCCCCTCCTACAAAGCACATGGTACTGCAAACACTCTGGACTCTTGCCTTGCAGTTTTACAGTCAGGTACTTGTGATCAAGGGCTGTTTCCTTGTCCATGCACACGGAACCAGGAATGTCCAGAGTCACATCAGTGCAAAGGCTGGCATTGCTTACTATGAGTGGGCTGCGGCAAGCGCACAGTCTCTTAATTCCAACGCGTCACCCTTTGCAGAAATACAGAAAGCTGTGAAAACGACAGCAGGTGTAAGTTTAAAGCCTCTAGCTCTAAAACATGCTGCTCCCTCCCGATGTGCCCTCTCCCCAGCGATTTCAATATCGTGGCCAGCTTTCACATCCAGCTGGGAACGCCTGCCCCACAGGACCCTTACCTCTCTCCTGCACGAAGTAGGCCAGGTACAGGTCCAGCTCCTTGACAGACACGCTGATGTGGTGGGGCTGCACGCAGAGGATGGGGTTGGTGCACTGGCCTGCCTTCACCAGCCGTTCGCCGTCCGTGCTCTCCAGCGGGATGCCCTTGAACAGGATGACCATCACCAGGTCCAGGCGCCACACCTTGTCGGCCTGCCGCAGGCAGTCAATGCGGCGCATCTTGCCCTTCTGGTCGGGGTTGGACAGCACGCAGCAGGAGGGCTTCTTGCCGGTGATGGAGAGCACGAAGTCCTCGCGGCACTCCGGCCGGATGTCCTTGCGCAGCTTGGCCAGGAGCCGCGAGGCCCACTTCTGCTTCACCTCCGGCTTCTCGTTGAGCAGCTCGTCCTTCACCGCCCGCTCCTCGTCCTTCGTCATCCTCTTCTCGTGCTTCTTGAAGTACTTGCGCTTGCGCGCCTGCAGGTTGAACCAGGTGTAGGCGAAGGCCCGCACATGAGGGAGCAGGGCCTCGATGAACGGATGAAACTCATCCTGGGGGGGGAACCGGAGGGAGACAGGCTTTCAGATAACAATCACACTGGATCTGCTGACAGAGAGCTACTTTCTGCCATTTGTTTTTGTGGATTGTACTTCTAAAACTGGCTTTAAAGGTTCATCACGCAACTTCCCTGTGGAAAGACAGGGCAGTCAGCAAAGATCTGATCTTTACTACTGCCCAGTCTTTCTTACACCCGAAGAAGGCTCCACGGCCGAAACGCTGTGTTTCCTTTCTTCTCTTTTCAGCATGAAATAAACCTTTACTTGCTCCTTCCCTGAAGAAGTTTATTTTTGTTATTTTTACAGATTCACATGGATGAAATGCTAAGACGAGGGTTTGCTTTGGTTTGTGATAAAAGCAGTCCACGTACAGTATAAAGACTGAGACGTACAATAATTAAATCATTCTTTACATTAGTACGAATAACAGATAAAAGCCCAAATGTTCTTGACACGAAAACAAGGTGGTTTTTTGTTTATAAACTCTGGCATACAGATAAAGACAACTCTAAAGTGGCTGATAACATCACTGACTTTGCTCCAAATGTTAAGTAAATACTTATGTGAAATAGAAGCAAGGTTCCAAGTCTTCTTAAGCATTTACCCTATGTCCTACACTATATACTGCAGAAAAAACGGGTATATAAGAAGCTTTCTGATAGTGAACAACACAAAACACCCAGTCATACTTCTTTAGTTTTATGGTATCAAGTTTAAAAAACTAAAGATACATCTGTATGCCTTTAAGAGAACTCCCCAGTTGTAATTATTTGACTGTTTAAAGACCTATAGCTCAGTAACTTTCATTTGGTGTCACTAATTACTTCCACATGCTTTCCTCCATTGTCCATTAAGCAGTAATTTGTAAAAGAAAATGCTACTGCAAAGTGACCTAATATATTTTGCAGTTCTTGAGCTACAGAGAAATATGATTTGAAAATGATTTTAATATTCCTCCTTGTGGATGGGGGATCTGTTCTTGTGCAGAATAAAGTTAAAGAGACACTGGCTACAGATGTTTCTCATTTTTAGTATACTCACTGAACTATCTTCAAATTTTTAACCATGAAACCTTTCTTATATAGCCTCTCTATACTCTTATTCAGTGGTACTATAAAAGTTACATTCTGTTTTGAAGAGATACGAAAAACGTTTTGCTTGCAGCCAACTTGCCAAGAGTTCAAGTGAATTTATTAAACTCTTTAACAGTTTCAAAATTAAAATCTGGATAACTGGCACATGCTTCTTGGCCAAAATATTAGTAAATCCCCATAAAGTGACTAGAATCTCCCTGTAATGGGCCTGTCCTTCAGTACATTCCCCCTTCCAAACAAACCCCAGATCTCAGTCCTCTTGAAAACAGAAACTCAGGCAGCTCAAGCCTACATGCTCTCTTCACAACCCCATGGCAAAAGCTTGCCAGCAGAATGTGATAGCACTGGGCAGCAAACACTGTACAACTCGGTGGAATACTGGCCACATTCACTGAGGACCAACACTGGTTGAGGGTTCCTAATATTCTATCCAATGAGAGTGTGTATAAGCACATAAGATAAATATACACACACGTGCATCTTACATTTTTAAAGCATGTCATGGACACAAACAATCACAAGGATCTGCCAAGCTGATGCATTGTAGGAAAACGTAGCCAGCAGTCCCTTATGACTTACTCTTGAGAGTAAAATTGAACATGACTGTGGCACACTGCAGCTTTCATACAATAAACACTCTGTGCTGCACTCAACAGCACAACAACTTAAATGCTTCCAGCTGTCTCAGGCCGTTACTGCGTCGTGCACATTGCGAGTGCTGAACATCAGTTTTAAATAAATAAATCTTAAAAAGCAGATGTCCTGTCCTTGTCACAGGAGATCTCATGATCCCCATACTTTTTGATAATGAATCCCACTCTCCGGAAAACATGAAAGTTGAGTCAATTAGACAGCAATGCTGTGTGGCTGAGGTGTTCATGGAGGAAACAAGCTCGGATGTACAAGATTAATTCCTCATTCCACTGCACCAATGTTTAATGAAGTTAATAATAATATTATAATAAATTCTAAAAAATATTGGCCCCATTTTTTATACTCACAATACTCCTAAGCAACACAAATGCTAACATTTGGTATTTTTATCTATAAGGGAAATATCCAAATAAAGTACTGATATTTTCAGTGTGTGATAATTGTGGTCCTACTAAATCACTGTCCCAGTTAAAATTAATATCTTACTGAAAAAATAATTAACTTCTTAGCTGCCCTACTATCAATCAAATAATCACTGTTAAAATGACAGAATCTATTGCATACTATGATCAGAAAAGGCTGAGAACACACCAAGTCTGTTGCAGCTGGAATAGCCCTGCGTTATGGACACTGTGAAAGCCCAATTAATAAAACAATTACAATAATTCAATATTATGGATATCCTTTCCCACTGCATTGTGGAACTTCAAACTATCCAGATTTTTCAACATCAAACCACTCCCATTGTCAAATTCATCCTCTTTTAAGTGGATCTGAACTGAAGCACTGCAGTAATTTGACTACACACTTCTTTTGCTGCCAACAGGCCCAACGATTCTCCCAATAACGATAAATTCTAAACTGCGTTCTGCACATTTCAGGCATTCTGTTTAGTGGAAACCTTGAAACAACATTTACGTGGCACGCTTAAAATTCAATCAATCTGGACTACAGACGAGCTGGAAAGTTTTGTCCCTCAAATTGTTCCAGGGAAAATGATTGCATTAAAAAAATCATCAAAGCCAGAATGCTTTGAAAAGGTTAACAATGAAAGTCTGTTCTGTGGTGATTTAAAAGATTACTCGAGTTTGTATTCTCTGAAGAAACAACTCAAACAGATCTGCCACAACCCAGTTCATAAAAACAGAAGACTGCCTGGTGAACTTGGGAGAGAAATGCTAGGTGGTTTTAGTCTTTTTTTTTTCTAAATTAACAAAATAAACTGCTGTATCAAAATGACTCAGAAACCACCGCAATGTCAGACAGGAGCCATTTCATTACTTCTCTGACCCTCAAGTTTCTTGGGCTGAAATTAATACTTTTTGATTCAAATTTTGCTCTTGACAGGAAATCCGATTCTTGAATCTATTTTTGTAGTGAAAGAGAGCGTAATGTTTTTCTGTTGTCTTAAATAAATCTGCTAAAATAAGGTTCTTTTTTGGTTAATACAGACAGGGGCAGAAGCAGGATCACAAACTATAGAGTTACTGTGCAAATTACCAAAGCTACCCAGAGAGCACAGAGCAATTCTAGTAAGAGAAACCAGAGATGTAGCCTGGCTGGTGACCATCTGATGAGGGCTTCAGAATTCTTAAATACGGAACACAACTACTTCCAATTGCCAAGGAATAATATAAACTGCAACGTATATAAAAGAATATGGAATAAGCTGGTGGTCTAGTGCTCATGTCAAGCAGGAGAGTTTTCATTTTAGCTTAAGTAAACATAAACCTTTTCCTTGTTAATGTAGGCTAGGATGTATATTTTAGCAAACTGATAATACCACAGGATCCTGGAAGAAAGTCAAAGCACAACCCGACAAGACCCCCTTTATTTTCTCCTCAAGGCAGGGAGAAATTTAATATTTAATGTGTGCTACAAGACCTCCCTCGTAGCTCCTCCTTAACGGTTTACGTTCACAATAGGGATTGCATCAGAAAAAAAAAACTCTGCCCAGAGACATGTTCCTCCCCAGCGGTTGGAATTTCTTTTATTATTCCATTCTGAACTGGCACAGCTACTAACCACTCCTAAGGCAAAAGTAAACATTAATTAAGTCCTCTGTTTCAGACTCTAACCTTGATTTGAAGACATTTCCATAGTTGTGAAAGGGAACTCAAATCCATTGCACTGTAGTTAGAGGGCAATTTCATTTTTGCTTCATTATAGAGGTTTTTTTTTTCCAGAGCTACCCCCTGAAACTTCACATGCAGATCTGCTTCGATTCAAGCCTGAGTTCCCTGGGAAATGCACTGAAGCAGAGAGCTAAAGGTTTAATGTGGTTCGTCTCTAGAATACCAACCTGGGGCCCTCTCCCCTCACCCAATATCCAAGTCTTCCAGCACCAGCAGCTAAAATGACTGGATTTCAGGGAAAATATAATCTATCTATAGAGATGATGAACCCACAGACCACACCTTGAAACAAGGACACGTACAGTATGATCACTTACTGTTGAATACAGTATGTATGATAAAATTACTGCCAAAGTCCCCTCCTATGGCTTTCTATTACTTGAAACTACAAAATGATGCAAACACTGAAGGTCAAATGTCAAAGTGATGATCTCTAATGGCAAGATAAGTTACAATAAATAAAATCAAAAACTAAAGAGGAAAAAAAACGGAACAATATTGGTTTCACTGTTAAACTCTTATATTTGATAGCAATACCTTTGGCAGCAATTAAAGCCACCACAGAAATTCTGGGTATATCTCTATCAGCTTTCACAATTATTGCCCGTTCATACTAGCAATGTTGCTCAAGCTCCCTCAAGTTGCCTGAGAATCTGATGGACAGCAGTTTTCAAGTCTTTCCACTGATTTTCACCTTACAGAGGCAGGTATGGATTCTGAAATATGTGAATTACTTTTATTTCACACTGACAGAGGCTTCTCAACTAACTGTGTGGCTCATTAAGGTAATACTGTGCCCCTAAATTAATTTACTTTTGCAAAGAGCTCCAATACTTATACAATCAAGACTCTTCTATTTTCTTTCATATTATCTATTTACTTGTTTTGAATGTGTGGAGGATGTTGTACATATAACAAATATTAATTGCTACTTTAAGGCATCACGGCGGCGAGCTTTAATGCAACAATATGTGAAAATTGTGCAAGGGTTTGAGTATTGTTGCAAGGTACTGTATTAATGTGTGTATTATCAGTATAAACAGTTTATGTGAAGCCTCCCCTAGGGTAATCTACTATTATAACAACTTTGACTGTTGTTAATATAACTTAA